TGGCCCCCACTGTCCATCTCAGACCCACAGACAGCTGGGGTGGGGGCAGGGGGAGGAGACCCTAGATCCCAGGCAGGGCATGGAGGACAGGGCACAAGCAGGAGTAGCAGTCACAGGGAACCTCAGCGACAGAAATGCCTACACACTAAACGGTGGATGGCCAGGGACAAGGGAGCCAGGCCACAGCTGAGGACCACCCTCACCAGCCTCACAGAGGTCGGCAAGGGCACAGGATGCCTGCTGCAGGCCTTTCTCAGGAAGGCGCAGAGGAAGGAGACTGCAGAGGCCACAAGACCAGAGACTGCCATGGAAATGTGGTGCAAGGGAACGCGCGTGTGTGCAGTCTTAGGCAGGGCCACCTACCAATTTCCTTCCTTTTTCTGAGACAGGGTCTCGCTATGTAGTCCAGGCTGCCCTTGAACTCACTGTGTAGCTCAGACTGGCCTCCAATTCTCAGGATCTTCCTGCCTCAGCCTCCCGAGGGCCAGGATTTACAGGCGTGCACCACCACACCCAAGATATTTTGCTGGATATCGCGTAAAGGTCTGCCTACGGTGCCCAGACTGGCATGACCTGTCCACGTCTAACGCGGTGACAACAGGCAGAATCCACCTCACCAAGAGCTCCTGGGGTCCTCAGCATGTAGCACTGTGACAGGGTCCTGAGACCAAAGTCTGAGGGCCCCAACCTGAAAACAACAATGGGGCCAGTACACACCATGGCAGTGCCATTATCCCCAGCAGGGAAACCCAGGTACCAGCCAGCCAGCTGGTCCACAACTCCAGCAAGCATGGCAATTCTGCCCTTCACCCATGATTTTTTTGTTGTTTTTTTGAGATAAGGTCTCACTATGTAGCCCAGGCTGGCCTCAAACTCTTGGCCATCATCCTCCTACCTCAGCCTCCCAAGTGCTGGGATTACTGGGATGCGCCACCATGCCTGGCTCTGCACCCATTATTATAAAGTCTATTTTGCTTTCTTTTGCCATACTGGGGATTGACGCCACGACCTTCTTGCTGAGCTATATACCTAGCCCTCCTTTATTCTGAGACAGGATCTTGCTAAGTTCTCAGGCAGGTGAACTTGTGATCCTTGTGCTTCAGCCCACCGAATTGCTGATATAACAAGTACATATCTCAGTGCCCAGCTTTATTTTGATTTTTTGAGGTGAGATCCTGTTATGCTGCCCATGCTGGCCTCAAACTCTCTGGTCACTTCTGCCACCCAGGGAGGGAAAACAAGTGCCAGCCCAACCGAGGCAGCACACAGGGACCAAGCACCCATCCGAAGTCGGCCTAGGCCACCATTTTGACTGACCGCTCAGGCGCTCACACAGCTCTGGCCAATTCAGCCATGGTCCTGAGATCACCTAACCTTAGCTCTCAAATGGGTGACGTCTGAGGACGCGCGTGGCTGCCAACACTGGGAGAGCTCCAGGCGGAGGCTGAGGACACCGCTCAGCAGCGGCGGTGCTCAGGACGCCCCCACAGAGTGCCGCGGCCTCAGTGTGCAAAGCTCCAGTTAGAGTTTATTTTATTTTATTTGGTACCGGGGATCAACTCAGTATCCTGGGCTTGCAAGGCAGGCGTGGTGCCTCTGGGCTAAAGTCCCAGCCCCACAGCGCCATTTCGACTGTGAGCCAAGTAAGTGGTCTACTGAACTATTTCCGCGGGCCAGGCCCGGGCCAGCCTTTCACCTGCTTTCGTCACCAGCTTCTCCCTGCGCGGCCACGTGGGCACCCACGGCAGCCACGTTGGCAACGGGAGCCACGGAAACCAGCGGCTGGCCAGAGGCGCTCAGAGGCGGGAGGGCTCCATAAAAAGCGCACCGTACCTGAGTAATGACGACTATTGTTAATTTATAGAACAGCCACACAGACGCCTCCCTCCTTGGCCCCGGCGGGGGACCAAATCCTGCGCATGCGCGCACGACGTACGCACACACGCACACGCCGCTCGCGTTTCCGCCAATCCAGCAACCTAATGACCACCCCATTTCCCAAAGGGATCGCCACTTCCGGAAGACAGCCGCCTCCCCGCAGGTTTCGGGGCTGCCAGGACACACCAAAAACGAGGGGGCGGGCCTGGGTGCACGCTGGCCCAGTAAGCACCCGGCCATGGGCTGCACCCCCGCACCCCAAAGCAAAACAGCTGCTCCCCAACACTCGCGAGAAGAGCCCACGCGCTGGCTACTTTCTCCCGGGACTGAGCCCAGCGCCGGTGCAGGCTCCACTCAGCTTGGCGCCCTCATCCCGACCCTGTCACCATTCACACCTCCCGTGGTCTGGCCACTTCCCCAGCGGGGCACCTGGGGAAGTGGCGCCACTGGTCTGAGGCTTGGCTCCCTCACCCGGAAGACGGAAGCAACTGCGCATTCCCTACAAGACCACTGCCTGGGCCGGGCAGGAGGCGGGGACTAAGAGGGGAACACAGGATGTTTCCTAACTACCGGTGGGGCCTGAAACCTAGCTCAACAGGGCTGGGGTGGGCTTCTCAGAGTCAGGCCCAGACCTGATGTTGTTGACACACAGCTGTTCCTCTTCTTACCACACATCAGCGGGCACCGATGTGGGAGACACTTTTGTATTTATTCTATTACAAATGGAGAGAAAGATGGAGTTGGGTGACGTGGACAGATGTCTGCCTCAGTTCCTCAGTCTGCATGTATATATCTCTATATACCCAAATATACACACACTGGACATCCCAGCACTCTGGGAGTCTGAGACAGGAGGATCACAAGTTTGAGGCCAGTCTGGGTGACCTAGCAAGCTTTGTGTAATAATAAAAACTAGGGCCAGGGATTCAGCTCAGTGGTTCCACCGCCTGCCTCATAAGCGCAAAGACCCGAGTTCAATCCAGGTACCAAAATGAAAAAAGAAACTACAAATGGGCCGAGTTGCTGGGCATGGTGGTGGACATTTGTAATCCTAGCACCTGGGAGGTTGAAGCAGGAAGATCGCCACGAGTTCAAGGTCAGCCTGGACAACACGGTGAGATCCTGTCTCAAAGGACAAAAAACCTGAATACAGTGCAATGCCCAGGTAGGCAAATTGAACGTGGTAGGTGAGCATAGGTGTTCACGGCTCGTCCTAACTTTCTGCATTCTTGAAATGTAGAACCGAAAACTTGGACCCAGTGCCTGGCACAGAGTGAACACCAGGTAACATTCATTCCTTAACTTTGAGGAGAGCTGGGGATTTAGCCCAGTGGCACTGCATCTGCTTCGCAAGTGCAAGGACCTGAGTTCCATCCCAGGTACCGAGAAAAGAAAAGAAGGAAGCATGGAGAGTACCAGCCACCATGAGCCCAGCAGGCACACCTGGCTCTCCAAAGCTCCTGCGTGGACCCACACACCAGGGGCCGATCAGAATGGTTATCAAAGGTGTGGAGCTGAGGCAGGAGGACCACTGTGAGTCCCAGGCCAACCTGGACTACCAAGTTGAGTTCAAGGCCAGCCTGAACTACACAGCAAGACACTGGCAGTCCAAAGTCATTGAGATGCCGAAAAAACCAGCCATCAGGTTAGAGGAGAGAGTATGCACAGCACAGCTCCCCTGGGATGGCAGCCTGCCTGCTGCACAAGCCACAGCTGGACTGCCACCTTCCAGCACAGCAGCTCCCGGGCTACTTAAATCAACTTGTTTTTGTTGGGCTTTTTTCTAGCGGTGCTGGGAGCTGAACCCAGGGCCCCTACACTGGGCTTCATCCCCAGCCCTTTTTTGGATTTGTTTTGTTTTTTGGTACTGGGGATCGAACTTGGGACCTTGCGCTTGTGAGGCAGGCACTGAAACCACTGAGCTACATCCCCAGCCCCCCAGCCCTTTTTTTGAAACAGGGTCTCACTAAGTTGCCCTGCTGGACTCAAACTTTTTTGATCCTCCTGCCTCAGCCTACTAGACTGTTCGATGACAGACACCACCAAGCCCGGCTAGACTGGATTCTTAAAATCTTCACATGGCCTCAGTCTCTTATAGTAAGGAGGCTAAGGAAGGTCTCCCAGGGCAGGGCTTCCCCAAGAAATTAATCATCAAGTCTTGTTTCCACAAGCGGGCAGAATCTGCCCAACCCCCTCGACTCGTTGCCAACAGCACAGCATCTGTTACCAATCTAGACAGCAGATGGCAGCAGTACCCGGTTTAAAATCCGACAACGAAGTCAGGCACACAAAACCCAGTCATACTGAGACTTTTTATCCAGTCCCATAGTCCTGTCACCAATAATTATAATCACCAACTCCAAGTCAGTCCCAGCAGGTGAGTCCCAAACCTGCTACCACACATCTTGGCCCACCCAGGAAACCCCACTTGCTGCATGGATCCACGTCCCCATCACAGGGGCAACACCCCCAGGTGCCAACCATAAAGCGTCACAAGCGCAGGCAGCTGTCAGCACAGTGACCATGTTAACAGCTCAGGGGACCGAGGAGACAGTGCAGAAATGTGGTAAGGGGAGACCCCGCAGAGACCACCCTCCCTCCAGGTCAGCCCAGCGTGACCAAAACTCTGACTCTGAATAAACTAATCCAAATCATCTCTAATCACACATCCTGATCGGAGTCTGAGGCTGAATGGCGCAGGCTGTGGGCCATCAGGGTGTGTTGTAAAAGAAAAACCTGGTCCCATCTCCACTGCTTAAGGGTGCGCTCTACAGCTGGGCTCGTCTGCGAAATTCCTCAGCCCTCTCTTGGCCACCTCCGACATCTTTCTTTAGAAATTATCTGAAGACAAGCTTTTTAAAATAAAAAATAAAATACAAAAGTTTAAAAGCCCAGGCTCTGCAGACTGGAGCGCCAGCTGCCTGCCTGGCGCGTCAGTGTGTGAGTCTGGCCTTTGTCCCTTCCCTCTCGCTCGCAAGCATTTGAGGTTTCTGCGAGACTTCTCCTTCCGGGAGACGCGAGCCGACCGGACGAGGGGGGAGTCTGCCCGTGCTTGCTGGTGGCTGCAGTGGCCGGGTGCCTGGACCAGCCAGGAACAAAGGTGTGTGTGCGGGCGGGCTTACCTGCTTGCCCCTGTAAAAGAGCCTCTGCAAACCCGGCTCCACGTGAAACAGCTCCTGAATCTTCCTCCTCAATTCCTCCACCTTGGTCAGCCTGGAGAGCGAGTCCACGGTGTGAGTCTCCTTGCCATCCATGGTCCGCACCTGGACCCACATGGTGTCGGTGCTGGGTGGGAGAGACAGCAGAACCAAAGGTCAGTTTCCCCATCACGGCCAGATTATGGGGGCGCAGGGGTTCGGACACTTAGGAGAACTCCCAGCCCCCGTGTTCTGCCAGCCCTAGTCCAGAGCCGGGCAAAGGAGATTAAAGACGTAACTGCCTTAATGACCAGCAACTGTAGAAGATGAAGCGGGGAGGGGGCGGGGGGCCCAAGCGCAGTCGCACACCACCCAGTGTAACCCACCACACCCCCGTGCGCAGGAAAACAGCGGCCAGGGACGTCCAGCACCGCCACGAGTGGCCGCACTGAACTGTTCATTCATTCATTGCCGGGATTCGTAAACTACGAAAAGTCCAGAACGCGCCGGAACTCCAGAAGTCCCGGGGGAAAAAGCAGGAACCCGGAGTAACTCAGGCAAGCGCGAATGAGAGCGCAGGACTCGCCCCCACCTGCGACCCCGGAGCCCTGGGACCCCCCGCCGTG